TCAGGTGTATATCAGTAGGTAGTGTCTCTGACATGTCTCCATGCTCTAATGTTCAAAAAGCTCTTTATTCTTCTCATACTGCCTGTGCTGCAGCACCTCTTTTCACCCTGTGTGTGTGTGTGTGTGTGTGTGTGTGTGTGTGTGTGTGTGTGTGTGTGTGTGTGTGTGTGTGTGTGTGTGTGTGTGTGTGTGTGTGTGTGTGATATAATTTGGTTTCCTTGGGTATTTTTCCTTTTTTGCTGCAAGGGTCTAAGGACAGAGGGTCTTGTAGGCTTTACAAACAACATGACCCACAATCATGTATTACACACTTGTCTCATTGGATTGATTAATACTGCAGCAGATAAAGAAAAAGCTGCAGGGGTTTCTCTGTATCTCTTAACACAGGTCTGATACCACCACTCTAATGTTGAAAGATGTTTGGCACCGTCATACCAGACAGTGAAAGATGAACAGTGGTATTTGGTTTAGTTCCATTTGGCAGTGATATCACCATTGTATGTTAAACAAAGCATTTTTCTTATTTTAGCTGTGTTTACTGTGAGATAACAAATGACACTAGTATGAGTAGGCCTGTGGATACCACTGTTTACTTTCTCAAAAGCCCTATCGGTTTCTGTGGTCGAGTGACTTGACAGGATTGTTTGGGGGAGAGTTTTGACACTGATCAAAAAGTGTGATACTGTGAGTAATACAAGCATTCTCATTGTATTACTTTGTTTCTCTTTACCAGGCAACTCATCAGATGTCCATGATCTCTCTCCATGGTCAAACAGTACTGATATGGTATGTAGTTTCCTTGATTTTGTGACATTTTGTAGCATGGATTCAGAATTAAAAAATGTTTGCCATATGGACTTGAAGAGTGTTTTTCTCCAAATATAGTTGCTTTAAGGATATTCTTGTCTTTCCAGCAAATGAATGCCACATGGGCATCCCTGAACATGGAGCAGTGTCTGAAGTTCGGAGGGCAGCTGGTCGGAAGCGCCTGTGGCTACGTGCCTGACATCACCCTGATGTCCTTCATCCTGTTCTTTGGGACCTACGCCTGCTCCATGGCTCTGAAGAAGTTTAAGTTCAGCCTCTTCTTCCCCACCACAGTGAGTGAAAGCACCCAGCAATGCTTGTGCAGCTGTTTGTCTCTCAATTCTGACCCTAATGCAGGAAGCAGCTCGCATCTAGTGAAACTGGTGAACACCACAAACATCTATAATGTCACATCTAATGTAACGGGCTGTTAAGTGGCACTTTTAGTTTAATCTAAAAGCTCCAATGTCTGTGAGAGTCGATGTGAGGTCAGATCTCACATTTTGAACAGTGTTTGATGTAAATAAGACATGAGACTCAAGCTCAGATCGAAACATTATTGCTGGCTTATATTCATTTTTTAATATATTTTTCCTAAATCTGGTAAATCACGCAAATAAATGACATAACATCGTGTTGAGGCTTAGATTTCATAAACCAAATGATTGATGATGATAAAAAAGACAAGGAATCTTTATTGTAAGTTATTACATTTCAGCATCATGGGAACATGAATGTCTATACAAAGTTTAATTGCAAACCGTCCAATATTTGTTGCAATATGTCAGTCTTGGCCAAACTAAGCTAAAATTGCCATCCCTGCTAGCAAGGCTAAAAATGACATAGCATTTTGTGAATGTTACAAAACTGATATGGTAAAGTTCTATTTGCATTTTCTTCCAGAAAATAATTGAATTGGTTCTTCATCAGCCTCCGGTCTGGTTTAAAGCCTTCTAGTCACAAATTGCAGAACAACTTTGTTTACTTTTAAATAAATAATGGATATAATGACTTCTAGTAACAAAAGCAAGGTTAGTAGCAAAGTAGCAAGCTAGGCAAGGTTATGTGTAAAACATGTTGTCTGACATGATGAAGTTGTTCTTGGTCAAACACACAAGGAAAATGTCACTGAAGCTGTTCAGTAACATTTCACAAGCTAAAAAAAAAAACTGCTGTAAAATGTGTATCTCTTCTAGGTGAGGAAGCTAATCAGTGACTTCGCCATCATCCTGACTATTCTTCTGTTCTGCGGCGTGGATGCTCTTGTGGGTGTGAACACTCCAAAGCTCATAGTGCCGAGTCAATTCAAGGTATGTACCAAGCATGAATGAAGTGATTGCAATAAAAAAACTAGCAATCATTATGTTTTATGCATTGACTTGTTTTTTATCTGACTGATGAGTGCAAGCCGGATGCCGTTTCCTGGGATTACACTGATAATGATCCATGTTTCTGCCAGAGAGACTAGGAAAATCCTAGCATAATGCTTCCTTTGTAGTTTGCCCAGTAAGTGATACAGGAAGCTAAGGCACAGTCAGTCTGAGAGATTACTCAGCTCAAATGTTCCTCAGCTGGCTTTAAGACCACCCCGCCTTGACATAGAGGAAGGGAGTGATGGGGTAGAGGAGCATAGTTGCATCGAATAACAACTTGATTATAGGTGATGTGTGAACACACACCATCTTATCGCCGCCAGCACAGAACCAGCTTTGTCTGACCACAGTGTCTTAATTCTCAGACTTCTGTCCTGTAATAATGCACCACGCTCTGTTCAGTGTTAAAGGGTGTAATAGGGCATCACTTCAAATTAGTTTTTCCTGTTCTTGTTTTAGATGTTATCTGTTTTTAAGAGATCTGGACTGCACAGAAATAAGAGGTCCAGGTTAACGATCCTGTCTCTTCTTCTTTTTGTCCAGCCCACGAGTCCACTGAGGGGCTGGTTTATTCCTCCGTTTGGAGGGAACCCTTGGTGGGTTTACCTGGCAGCTACCATCCCCGCCCTGCTGGTCACTATTCTGATATTTATGGACCAGCAGATCACTGCTGTGATTGTCAACAGGAAGGAGCACAAACTCAAGGTTGGTGCACCACCTCAAAGATGTATTCATTTCTAGGATAAAACTAATGGATCCATTTAAGGACAAGAGTGTTATATATGAACAGTCAGTGGTTCACCCCCTGCCCCTTAAGACAAATACATAACCACCAGAAAAAGTCTAATATATTCTTTGAAATTATTTTCTATACTAATCTAACTGTTAAAATGTATTTTATACAAAGAGTATCTTCCTGTCTAAATACTGTTTCAAAGCATTTTAAATGATGACTTTCCTATGTTAAATATCTTCTTAAAATTCTTATTTTTTAATATAACCTGAAACACTGTTGTATGTATTGTAGATTTTCAACAATTTCTGGTCGTTAAAAGTCCAGCCTGCTGTTAATATAATTAACACCGTCGGATCATTTTGATGATTTAGAAATCCTTTATTTGTTTAACTGACATTATGTTTCCTCCTGTGTCCTCTCAGAAAGGGGCAGGCTATCACTTGGATCTGTTCTTGGTGGCGGTCCTGATCATTATCTGCTCCTTCATGGGCCTGCCGTGGTACGTGGCTGCGACCGTCATCTCCATCGCTCACATCGACTCTCTGAAGATGGAGACCCAGACGTCAGCCCCCGGGGAGCAGCCCAAATTCCTGGGAGTCAGGTGAGGCCACGCAGCTGCTGGATAGTGTTGATATTATTTAAGTAATAATATTGGGCACTAATGCCGTGTGCCAATCCCATACCAAAAATGAATATTCCAACCAGTCATTCTGTGTAAAGCGTGGTTCCCTCCTGCTATACTCCCATGATTAACATTTGTTGTGAATGCATTTTTTTTAAACAATAAAGGGTCATAAAAGCCAGAAATAAGTCATTCTCAGGAAGGAGAGAAACATAAGGCACAACAATTAGATAAAAGGGTCCAAAATCTACTCAGAGCCACATATGTTCATGTTCCACATTATTTGTACTTTTAGATGGAGAATTACTATATTACCATGAATGTTTTCTTAGTCTTAAAGAAAATAATAAATGTCGGTATTTATTTTAGCGCTTTTCCAAGTGCTCAAAGCGCTTTACATTACATATTGTGTATATTAGACATGTAGTACAGTGGACAATACCCACAGGAGCAGTTCAGAGTAAAGTGTCTTGTGTATCTTGGCATCCCATATTTGTGATGCAGTCAATGACCACAATTACCATATATAGCATTCTTAAGTTGTCATTTGAAAGCACACATTTTTTAAACTCCATTCTATGCATACACAGCTGTTAAAAATGAAGCTATGAGACTAAAATCAATGATTAGTTTCTGCTTTTCATGCTTGTGACAGTTTCTCAATAACAAAGTGTTTTTCCTCTTCTCCAATCCAGGGAGCAAAGAGTCACCGGTATCATTGTTTTCCTCCTGACGGGACTCTCTGTCTTCATGGCCCCTATCCTCAAGGTAAGAGCTCTAATTTCTTAAATCTTCCATGGAAATATGGATTACTGTCCGCCTCTTTTAGGACAAACTCCTGTCAAATAATTAAACATCTTGTATTCATCCGATTAGGAACTCCCATAGTTGAAGTAATTTGAAGTGAAATAAGCATGTTCATTTAAACTTAATCTCCGAGTGCCTTCTCGAGTTTCCATTCCCACATTACGCTGCCAAACGGAAAACACAGTGTTAGTGAGGGGAGGTTGTTGGAGCTGGTGCGCCCCCGTGTGGACATTTAGGATATTGTCCTTTCCCAGACTGGCTTGTCATCTGTATCAACTTAAATAAATTGAAATATTTTAGTATAAATTACATTACTATTATATTTCCTACACTATTTCTCTTTCTATTTTTCATGCTTTATTTGCTGGCGATTAAACTATTCACTCACATTTAAACTGCAAAAATCTGCAATAAGTTGACATGTCCCAGTGTTTTTCTTCCCACACTGATTTTCTTTGGCTAACACTGAATACATAGTTGCCAAGAATTAGCCAATGCCACCCTAGTGACACTGAAGAATACTAAAAGAGTACTCTTCAAAAAACTTGTTGTGAACTTTTTCAAACTTAGCAATGCTGCTAAAATGATGGTCTAAGGACAGAGGGTGTAGTATTCATGTTCTGTACAAACTGTAAAGTCCCCTGAGACAAATGCAAAATGTGTGGTATTGGGATGTATAAATAAACCTTGATTGATCAAATGAAACATAATCGTTACCTGTATGAAGCTAACTTGAACATCTTAGTCATCTCTGGATTAGAAACAAATCTTTAATATGGAAACTGACTAATATCTTTGTTTGTTGTGCCCCTTCAGTTCATTCCCATGCCAGTGCTCTACGGTGTGTTCCTCTACATGGGGGTGGCCTCGCTCAACGGTGTCCAGGTAAGTGAGTCTGAACAGTGCCTGGTAACCAGTGTTGGCAGGATACTTCAAAATAGTCATTATTACATTACTTAACTGATTACTCAACAACAACAAAAATCCATATTACTTTACTTTTAATTCATTACTTTATATAGCCCAGCTTTGTCAGAGGAGCATCTTTAACAAATCTAAAATGTCCAGAGTTTCAGACCACATCTTCTAAACCTAACACATGTAGAATGGAATAAGGACATGGTAGTTTACAGGTAGCCAGCCTGTGGTTAGGAAGTATTTACTTTGGCAAATTCAGTGACCGCAGATTTTCCTGTTCACATGCCCCTCAAAACCTGAATATAGGTTTACCGATCAAATCCAAGCAAAGCTATTTGGTGTCTAGCTAATGTAACCGTCTTCCAACATGTTGTCACATTACATGTTGTTTTTCCTCTTTTGCACTGTACCCACTGCTCCTCATGCACTCCCTTTTCGTACTGTAATAGCTGAATCTCAAATTGTAGTCCCTCGACTGGAAAGGGTTACTACATTTCTGTAAAGCACTGCTTCTAACAACGAATCAAAGTTAATATCACCCTTAGAAAATTCCACCTGCAGTAACAATTACAAGTAAACTAAATGGGTTACGACCTCAAGTGAAATTGAAGATTCTGCAGCATCTTGATATGTTTAAATATTGCCTCTCATGACTGACTGATGTTTGCGTGCCTCAGTTCATGGACCGGCTGCAGCTGCTGCTGATGCCGGCCAAGCACCAGCCGGACCTGATCTACCTGCGCCACGTCCCCCAGAGACGCATCCACCTCTTCACCTTCATCCAGGGCCTGTGTCTGGCCCTCCTCTGGGTCCTCAAGTCCACCGTGGCTGCCATCGTCTTCCCCGTCATGGTGAGAAATGGCTGCCAACACAGATGTAGCCAAACAGGGATTACATAGAGTGCTATAGGAGCATGAACGCTCATTATAAACAATGTCTGTGTCTGCAGATCTTGGCGCTGGTTGCCGTTCGCAAGGCGATGGACTACGTGTTCTCCCAGCACGACCTCAGCTACCTGGACGACGTCATCCCAGAGAAAGACAAGAAGAAGAAGGAGGATGAGAAGAAAAAGAAAATCAAGAAGAAGGGAAGCATAGACAGCGAAATCGAATTTGTAAGATAACTATTCCTTCAACCTGATCTTTATATTCCCTGTGTTGTTGTGATGTGTTAGTGTTCAGCCTCCTGTAGATCCTAAAGTGTTAATGTTCTCCCTCCCTCCTCCAGCAGTCTGACTACCCCTACAATGACAATGTACCCAGTATAAAAATCTCCATGGATATGATGGAGGAGCAGGAACCCATGTTGGGTGATAAATCTATGGATAGTGAGTACTCCAGAGGCGGCGCTAACTCTGCTTTCAAACGCTTCATGACCACATTTCTTTTCTCTTTTACCAGCCATCTTGCATGCAATTCTTCACACCAGATGCATTCGTTTTTCTGACTCTTCTTTACTTCTTTACACTCTAGTTTTTATTATTGTAGTTCTGCAGCATTTGCTTTCTCTTTATTTTATTCTCTGTTAATTCATATGAAGTTTAAAGGAAAATGTCCTTAAATATATATGTTTCCCCCTCAGGAGATCAACCCCAGACTGTCCCTAACACGCATTCGCCGTGCTGATCCATACTTTGACTCTTCCACAGTGGCAGAGTGAGTGAGTAAAAGCTGGATCTAGCAGGAAATGCTCCAGTAATGAATTGTGTGTATTGTTATGTTCCTCTGCTATATATTTATAATTCTCTACATCTTTTCTTCTTTCAGTCTGAGCAAAGATTCATACGAAAAAGGGTTGCCTCAGATTGGTCTCTAAGGAAAGCACTTTCTCTTGGAGGAAGGGCTCTGAATCAAATCTGTGACTCAACTATCCAGAGATGCAGAACAACACGGCACACATCCTCTTTTGCAATATTGAACCTCTTGTTTTTTTTCAATATTCCCTATGCAAATCAAAATGGCTGGAAGTATTTGTCTTCAAATTGACACAGGATACATTAGTGGATTCCTGCTCTGCATGCATTCTTGCAGGAAACAGGGCTACTCGAGGTCATCTGTATGCATTTTTAAGTGGCTTTTAAAGAGTTTGTGATGTCAGGGTTTTTTTTCCAGCACACATTCATATCATATGAATGTGTATTATAATTGGTGTCCAACTAAGATACATTATTTTTATCCAAAGATGTCCAAAATTCACTACGTATTTTTTTTTCTTTCAAAGATTTCTTCCAAACATAACCAGCTTTTCTGAAAGTACTTTTTTACGTTTTGAATCATAACCACTGGAACCTTAAGAGTGGAGGTACTGAAGTTTGAGGCAAGAAAAGAGGATGGACATAAGAAATCTCCCTCTACTCACAGTGAACAAAAGGGCTACACGAGGTCATCTGCGCACAGTCATGAGCGTGAACATACATTTTGTATTTATGGGCGTATAAATTATTTATCAAGAGTCTAAGACTTTACATTCACAAAAAACTCCCAGAAGTTCATGCAAGATTATTTTTGTTCCATTTTTGGTAAACGCTAACACCAGACAGACTTTGACTTCTGTTTCTGTCTAACTTTTCCTTTTTTTCCTCCTGTATTTATTATATTTAAACAGTTTGAACCTATGGCTTTACTATTTAACTCCCTCATTTGTGCAAATTCCACGATATTCCCCCTTGTCGTCTATCCTCTGTCTTTTTCCCAGTTTTAGGGAGATTTAGATGTTAATATACCTGTATTTAGCTCTACCTCTTATGATTTTGTAGGTGCCAGGTATTATATATTAAATTAATCTGTTTTGCAATTATTTGTGATCAAACACTTTCGTTTTAACCGGCACTGATTTAGAATCTCTGAGTCTTCAGATGACTCCCTTTTTGCTCTATGACACTTAAGATATCGATTTTTTTTGTTTGTCTTTTGACAAATTATGTATAATTTTTGCAGTGTTTTTAAGGGTAATTCCACCAAAATCTAATTTTTCATCCCTAAAATATTTTTTAATTGTTCCAGTACTGAAGAAAGGGGGAAAATGATGACTGTAACCATTTACACGCATGACTGTGAACTCGCCCCGCAAATATTTTAGTTGAATATCCTTTTAAGATGTGATCATATTTAAAAGCTGTTCAATGTGATGCATTTTCAATCATTGAGTACATTTGTGTTTTGTTTTTTTAAATGATGTAATGTGTTTTTATTTTTTAATGCAAATCAACAAACAATCACTGTGAGGTAATGCAACGTTGTGACTTTCAGTCCTGGAAGAAAAATTAGCTTTATATGAGGTAAAAAGTGTTTGTGCAACAGCTTTATTTTAAAATGGACATTTTACTGAGAATCTTTTAATTTATCATTTACAGTTTTTCTGTGTTATTCAAATAACTGTGTGAAGTACACACTAAACTGATTTATGATATTAATGCATATCTGAATGTAATGCATCTGAATAATTTATAATGCATATATTCCTTGAAGAAAATCCCAATCAGCACTGCTTCTAATCTGATTTGTGTGCAAATAAGGGCTTTAATGCTTTCACAATAATACACTGTCAAGATGTGAAGCACAAGACTGTTACAATAGCTATGAACCAAAAACATGGTCTTCCACTTTGTTCTGTGATCTGTATATCTGGACTTTTTGACTTTCTGGTTGTGATTCCACAATGAATGATATCTTTTTGAATTCTGAAACAGATTTTATACAATCATCGTGTTTGCTTGAAATCCATAGGTTACTCTGAAGGAAGCAGACTTCTGTTTTTTTTTAATGGAGTTGTGTTTCGAATGAGCCCAATAAAACTGTTCAAATGATTCTTAAATACATTGTTGTGTTTTTCTTATAATTACTCCAAGAGTTCAGAAGATACAGCTCCAAAAAGATGGGTTTTAAATTTGGAGAAACAACTTTGTGTAAAGCCTAGCATGCACAGTAATTTAGAACACTGTTTACTTCTTAAAGGCACTCTATGCACTCATATGTCAGTTAAAGAGGCCCTATTCTGCTTGTTGGGGTTGTCCCTTTCCTGTAGTGTTATTGGTTTTTCTGCATGTAAATGGTCTGCGAAGGCTCAAATCCCTGTGTTCCCTCCAGAGGGAGTTTCTCTTTCTACATAGCGACATCACTTTGTAACACGCGTTTCTACTGCTCAGCGTTCGAACACCTTGTACGTGATAGGCTGGGTGGGACCAATCACAACAGAGCCGGCCAGCTAACCAATCAGAGCAGACTGGGCTCTGGTTTCAGACAGAGGGTGAAAAGAGGTGCTGCAGTATGAGAAACATAAAGAGCTTTTTGAACATTAAAGCATGGAGACATGTCCCAGTAGAGACACTTCATACTAATATACACCTGAACATCAGCAGGAGAGGACTCTTTAAAGTAGAGACACTACATACTGATATACAACGGAACATCAGCAGGAGATGACTCTTTAAAGTAGAGACACTACATACTGATATACACCTGAACAT